ACATCAACGGTGGTTATTTCAAGAGTTGTGTGACTCCATCATTTGCTCGAACACCCAGTGGCCCCCTAGACTGATTGCTTACAAGTGTAAGGCGAGTTAGGATAGGGGAAGGTTTCAACACCAAAGGAATACATCGTTACGTGGATGTATTCTAACTGGCCTCGCTGCCTAGTTAAAAAGATATGCAAACAGAAAGAACCCATTCCATCACTGATTTATGCAAGTTGACTCACACAGAGAACGGTTTTGACTGTGTTCTCGCATTATCATTATCGGTAGGTGCGTGAAGGGTAGACAGACCAGCAGACACGGCCAGACCTCCTAATTTGCATTGTCAGGTTTAATCGGTAGCAGTGGCCGATTAAAGGGAACGATTGATGTGAAAGACAAGTATCGTACAATATATGGAGTGAAGGGAACGTTGAAGTCTTCCAATTAAATATTTCCAAAGTCCCATGTTGTACTGGTCAGCAACACTCCCCGACATGACAGAGTACGAGACAATCGTACCGAATAGTATACAAAGAAGAATTTAGAGAGTGCAGACAGTTTTGGTCAACGGCTGGTCGAATGTACGAACCTGGTCCACTTGTAGAGGTATGCCTACTGGTTCAGCATCCATTACGAGTGTGAATTACAGAAATTGATGAATTGGATGAGTTAGCACTCAAACGGTTTCAAGGTTGAACAGAAGTCTGTTAAGGCTTATATCACACCGAAACATCTACATTTAGGTCTGGATGTAACCCGACTTTAAAAAATCGGATAGAATTTGATCCGCCCTCTTCAACTTCTAACATTTTTAGATCAGGGAGGTTAAGGATAAAGAAAATGAGCTCACTCTTCTTAAGGATGAAAAATGTGAAATCTGTTTTTAAATAACTAAGATACTAAACTTCTTGGGTGGCAACTCGAAGTTCACTTGTACTTGGTGCAAACACCAACAACGTTTTAGGCAAAAAAAATGACGGAACTCCTCAGCTCCGTATGACAATGAAAACAAATCGAAGTACAAGAATGAAAAATACACTGAATCCCACAACTTGGAGGAATTAAAAATGGTGGAGAAAAGCTATGAATCCTGCCTCATTCTAATCGGCAACTTTTGGTTTAAATGGGGAATGGATTTGCATAAATTTTATCTACTGGATATTATAGACCGAAGATCAGCCACATCAAGGCACTTTTAAACACGGGGATATTTATACCCAACGCTTTAAACAATCGTTTCGTTCTCTTATCGATTTCCAGTGGGTAGCAGCGCTTGTAAAATTATCAATTTCCACACATGTTTAACAATGGTGAATTGTCTTTAATCGCTTTTCATCCAAAGTAAAGTTTTGTCAGGTGGAACAAATTTAACTTGTAACCTTCTATGTTGCCAGTTTGTCTATGAGGAAACTGTGACTATCAGCAGAAATGCAAATGCTCTCTGCTTTGTCGAAACTCGCACTCATTAAGGTGCGAATTTATACCACAATGAGAACTCCTACATTCCCATTTACGGTAAATTTCGGCTGATTACGCAAAATGCAAATAAATTGTCGCAACCTATGTTGACAAGCTTGTTTGTTTCCGGCTGCTTCTGCAAAGTAACTAGTGGCACTGAGCTTTTGGTGTGTTAGTAACTTACAGGCTTCAATGATAGTAGCGTTGCGGCTGAACACCTTCTTGACTTGTTTCAATGCGGGTATTAGGTTCCAAACCTCGCAGGTGCAAATATAGGCGTCAAACCACTCCTCCAAGTCTTTCGTTCGAACAGGCAGACTCAAATGCCAGCGTGGCCCATCGGCGTCCAAATTTCCATTGGAGTCAAGTCGAGTAACCTGAAGTCTCTCTTCACTGGTATGCTCATTTCCCATATATGGAAATGTTTTGTCTGCACAGAAGACAACAGCGTGTGAGACCGGTTCTGCAGTGCATTCAAAAACCGCAGGCTTTCCCCTCCATGCATAGTAGGTACTTTCCGGTTGCTGGATAAATACTGGAACCCCTTCTAGGTGCTTTTCATGGGGTTGAATAAGATCCTTCTGATGTGACGCATCTCCTGCACCTGTATAAATGAGGCATATGAGAAGAAGAGTAAATGTTGCAGTCCTGTAGGATTCAACCATACTAAAATGGCATATTAAGGGGTAAAAAAGGAGGTGTGATTATCAGAACCGGGAAAATGCACTGGTTGCCACACTTGAGAAGCACCTTTAGCCCAACGATAGAGCCGGCCAATCGGCACATAGGTTTCTGAGTGACCAATAAAAACGCGAAAAAATTGTAGCAAATCTATTGGTTAATACGGAGAGACGGAAAATAGGATGATAAATAGTTTTTTATTTGAGGCATTTTTTTAGCATTGCCACCGCTGTATGAGGATCAAAAACTTGATCATTTTGCCTCATTTCTTAGCAAGGTAAGGTTAGAATAATTTGGAGGCGTGGGGGGCTGGAACCATTTTAGCCAGTCCATCGAAGCTAAAGAATGTTGTCTGAAATGAACGACTTTATGCATTTATTTTAATTTTAGTCTCAAACCATAAGACCGTACAGACGAACCCTTC